GGGCCGTGCGAGGGCTGCTGCTGCTGAAGACCCGGCTGTGACTGGGCCCGGGGCCGCATCGTGCTTCGAAGCCAGATCTTATTTATTTATTTATTTTGGCACTGGGCGGGGGGGTGATGGCTGGGGTCGCCCCTCCCCCATTACCTCTCCCCAGTTAGAGTCCCTGCGGGAGACCTGGGCAAGGGGACATCTGTGCCTTATTTATACTTATTTATTGAAGGGGAATGGGGTGGGAGGAGGAGGCCCCGGGATCCTAGGATCTTGGGTCTCCGATAGTTTGTCCACAGTTATCTTCCTGGCCCCCACCCCTCTGGGCCTGGGGGTGGGGCGTGGGGAAGCATATTTTATTTATTAAACAATTACTTTTCCATGTTGGGGTGGGGAGGGAAGGGCAAAGCAAGCCTGGGTGTTGTACGTGTGTGGGAGGGAATTAAATTTGTCTGACACGTCGTCCACCTGCAGGCGGCTTCTCCAAGGCAGAGGAGACTGGCTGGGGGCCAGCGAGCTCTGCGTGGCTGTCAGAGTCGCCGGTCAGCGCTTAGAGGTCCCAGGTGGTCACCGCTGACCAAAGCTCCTCTGTGGGGCAGAGCTGCCGGCTCACGCTCGCGATGACCGCGCACGGGAAGCAGCCTCCGGCCAGCCAGAGGGGAGGCCGCTGGGGACGCACAGGTGTCCGCTGAGAGCCGCCCCTGGGCTCCTGCTCCTGCGACGCGGGCCGGGAGGAGGCGCCCTCGGGGAGCGGGGTCGGGGCTGACTGCTGTCGCGTGTGCTTGTCTGTATTTCCCAGCATTCCCACCACTGTGTACTTTGCATGACACTTACCAAAAAAAATAAATAAATAAACACTATTTTTAGAACGATGATACCGGCCTCCCTCAACAACCCCCCCCAGAAACCCTCAGAAGGGCCGAGGGCCCCCCCACCCCATCTGGGGATGGACAGAACCGACCCTGTACTGGCGCCTGGCTGCCCCCGCCCGGGCCCCGCTCCCATCAGACCCGGGGTCTCGGCATCTTGGGGAAGGTTTGGGTCTCAGGCAGGGTTGAGACTGCCCTGCAGACCCGGCTGGCTAGTCACAGCAGCCCAGACTCTGCCAGGACCCTGCGCTGTCATGAGTTGAGGCCTGGGGGCGGGGGTGCCCAGCCGGGCGCCCGGTTCTGATTCACCCACTCCAGCCCTCAAGACTCCAGGCCAAGCCCCGGGGGGAGGGAGGAGGGAGCCCCCGGCCCCCCAGAGAGTCCCCAGGAACTGTCCCCTGTGTGTCCGATGAGGTCACAAAGCCCCCTACCAGGGGCTCCTCCCCCAGGCCAGTGCTGTCCACCCCCGCAGGGCCATGGCTTCGTCCCGAGTCTCCCAGCCCTGGGGAAGTCCCACTGTCTGTGTCCGCAGAGCTCCTGACACCCCTGAAACCCAGGCTTGTGGGCTGGGGTAGGGCCGGGAGAAGGGTGGGAGCACCCCGGGATCCCAGGTCCGGAAATCTGGGCCCCCACGCTCCCCCCACCAGCATGAAGCGGCTGCGGAACATCCAGCGCCTTGAGCTGCCCCAGGGCCCCCCGAAGTGGGTCCCCATTCTGGGCGAGCTGCAGAAGACCCTCCAGAGGGGCGAGTACCTGCCCCTGCGCCCGCTGCCCATGTTCGAGAGTAACTTTGTGCAGGTCCCCAGCTCCCTGTGCCCCGGGGGCTGAGGGGGCAGGGGCGGGGCAGCGAGAAGCCCGCCATGGGGGTGGCCGTTGGGGGCGGAGGCTTTAAGAAGGCCTGGGAGGGGTCTTGGCAGCAGGGGGCACAGCGGGGAGCAGTGGAGGGGTGCTGGAGAAATGCGTGGTCCCAGCCACTCTCCCCCGCCTCCCCAGGTGACCAACCGCGGGGGTCCCGTGTTCCTGCATCACAGAACCAACAGGCTGACCATGGGCGTGGCCGCCTCGCTGCCCGGCCTGGTGCTGCCGGACATCCTGCTGATCGCTCAGCCCTCCCAGGGCAGGGACAGCTCCAACCTCGTGCTGACCAGGTGCCAGGCGGCCCCCGCGCCCCGCCCGCCCCCTCCCCTGCCGGCTGCTCTAGCCACCCGTCTCCCGCCTCCCCCAGGATGATCCCACTCGACCTGGTGCACCTCTACGTCCACGACCTGTCCACCTGGCGCCTGAAGCTGCGGCTGGTCACTGGCCGCTACTACTACCTGGAGCTGGACGCCCCTGGCCACGAGGTGGGCTTCCTGTTTGACCGCTGGATCCGCCTGATCAACCTGCTTCGGGAGCCTGCCACCACCTGGGCCCCCAGGACCCTGCACACGCCCCCCCTGGACCTGTCCCTGGCCTCAGCGCCTGCCTCCACCTGGCACCTCCAGGTGGGGCACCCCCTCCACAGAGCCCAGAGGCGGCAGGGCCTGGAGACCCCCAGATTAGGTTGCACGGGGAAGGGGGAGCAGGAGTGTCCCCAGGAACGGGGCGGGGGTCTGAGGGAGGAGGGGCTGGGGTCTGAAGGAGTCAGGGGAGGGGCTGGGTCTGCAGACTGATGGCTGGGTAGGTAATGGCGAGGGCAGACCCCTCCTGACCTCCCGCCTGCTTCTCCACAGAACCAGTGCTACAGCGGACACACAGGTGAGCCCCCGGGGGCTGTCCCAGAGCCCCGCCCACCCCACCCCTCCAGGGCCCTGACCTGCCGCCTCGCTCTCCCTTCCCAGAAACAGTCACCGGGCCCACCTTCCCTTACAAGACGGTGACATCTCAGAAACAGAAGAAGGCCAAGGTGGGCTGCCCCTCCTCGCTGGTCCCGGGGGGGGGGGGAGCAGGAGGGGTCCAGGCCACCTTCTCTGACGCCCTCTTGCTGCGCCCGCTGCCAGGCGCTGAAGCGCAGGTTCAAGTCGCAGGCCGTGGGCGACTCTGTGCCCCTCATCTGGTCGCAGCTGGAGCACGCCGACTTTCAGAAAAAATCCGTGGAGAAGAGGTGGGCTGCCACGCGGGGGCGGGGCTGGGGAGGGGGCTGGGGCCGCTGGCCCACACTGCTGTCCCCACAGGTCCCTCCCGGACGCCCGGGAAGACAGGTCTCAGACCCAGATCCACGTGTCCGGTGAGACCAACCCCCTTCCCCCGCCATGTGGCTCGGGCCGTGGGGTCCCGGGGCGAAGGGCTCAGACGGCGCCCCCTCCCCGCCCCCCAGAAAAGGCCAGCATCACCATCCGCACCATCTTCAGCATCATCTCCAACACCGTGAACCCGGCTCAGTCCTCGCAGAAGGCCAGCTGCAGATGGGGGCTGGGGGCCCGGGGAGGAGGGGCTGGGGCTGGGGGCCGCCCGCGCTGACCCTGGGTCCCTGGCAGGCTGGCAGTCCTGACTCCCAGAGAGCGTCCAAGCAGCAGCGGCTCCTGGACACGCCTTCGCGTTGCGTCCTGGGGGACAGCACCGTCTTCCCCTTCCCGGGCTCCTACGACCACCTGGACATGCTGCTGTGGCAGCAGGACATCGGGGAGCTCATGGACCCCGAGTCCAGCACGCTGTCCTCTTCCTCCCTGGGCACGGCTCCCGGCCCCCCTGCCACGCACCTCTGTCCGTCCTACTCCCCGTTCCCCAGGCCCAGCGGCAAGGCCAGGCCGGCCAGCTCCCGGAAGGCCCCCTCTGCCCCTGTCACGCCTTGGAAGACGCCGTTCATCGTGGACCAGTCCCAGAGGGTCCCGGTCCTGCCCGCTGCACCCCGGAAGGCCCCCGCCCCGCATGCTCCATTCCGGAAGGTCTCAGCGGCGCCCGCTCTGTCCCAGAAGGCCTCCATGGCACCAACTGTCTCCCAGAGAGCGGCTGCTGTCCCTGCGCCACGCCGGAAGACCCCCCTTGGGTGTCTTCCCCACAGAGCCCCAGCCATCCGCCGCGGCATGTCGCCCAAGAAGGCCCTGGCCGTGCCTGCCCCACCTGCGCAGCAGGCCCCGTCGTCGTCGTCGGCACCTGCCGTCCCCCAGAGGGCCGGCACCCCCCCTCCCCCAGCAAGAGAAGCGTCACCCCAGAAGGCTGTGTCCGCACCTCCCCAGGACCAGGGCGCTCCCGACGCCCACGCGGCGTGGGGGGCGCCCCCCGAGGATGCTGCCCTGCTGCCCACGGGGGTCCCCGGGCAGGCGCTGCAGGAGGGAGCGCAGCCGGCGGTGCTGGTCGGGGCCCAGGTGACCGACGTGGTGGAGATGAGGGCCCAGGCGACCACCCTGGAGCTGCCCTTCACCACCACCAAGAAGCAGTCCAAGGAGTTCCTGGTCACCAAAACCCGGGAGGTCGCCCTGGAGGGCTTGCGGGGCCGGGGCAAGTTCGAGGACAGGGCCCACCAGGCGAAGGAAGAGACCGTCGTGGAGCTGCCCGGCCTGAAGTCCAAGGAGGTGGAGCAGCACAAGAAGTGGGTCAAGACCAGGGAGCTGGCCGTCGAGGGGCCCCGCCAGGAGCACAACCGCCCCTTCTCCGTGGAGGGGCTCGCCCTGGCCAAGCTGATGATCATGGCCAGCTCCAAGGAGCAGCACCTGCGGCCCGCCGTGGCCTCCATGCCCTCCTGGCTCTCCGTGACCTCCCAGGCGTCCGCCCTGCCCTTCAGCTCCAGCCAGCTGTCCTTGCTGGAGAGGACGCCCGTGGTGGTCAGGGAGCAGGTGGAGGTGCACGCCTGGGGGAGGGAGTGCATGCCGCGGGGGGCCGACAGGGCCGAGCCCTCCAAGGGCCCCCCCCAGCCCGCCTCCACCCCCAACAGCCCCAGGATGACCGCCTCCTCCCAGATTCCAATCCCTCTGCCCGCCACGCGCTGGGAGGACTTGCCGCAGCCGCCCCTCCTCGCGCCGCCCCCCACCAGGGCGGACACCATGTCCGAGGCGCCCCAGCATCGCCCGCGGAAACCCCATGATCCCAGGAGGGCGCCGAAGCCACCCCCGCTGGCCAAGATGGGGTCGTCCTCCAAAATCCTCCTGCCTGTGCTCTTGGAGATGGAGAGGATGAGGGAGAAGGAGGCCAAAAAAGGGGCGGTACCCAAGGAAGATCTCCGCCCTTCAGCCAGGTACTGCACGCTCCGTCGTCTGGGCGAGGCGGAGGGGCTGGGCCCCTCCGGCCCCTCTGCTGTATGCCATGGGCCAGAGGGTAGCACCGGGCAGCAGGGGTGTGGCTGCGACCGTGGAGGCAGGGGCGGTGGGGGACAGAGACATCCTGCCTTGCACAGGGGGTCTAGGAACACCTGACAGAGGGGAGGGGGAAACCAGGAGATCATCCGGACAGGGGAGGGGGAGCAGCCCTGCAGGACACGGGGGCTAGGGGTGAGCGCCTGGGGTCCTGGTGCAGTCACAGGAGCCGCCAGGTGGCTCCGTCGTGTGGGACGCGGTAGGACGGCCTCCGACTGAGCAAGCTGGGGGGTGCAGGGCAGAATGGGGGGACTTAGTTTATGTGGCGGACAGGAAGGGGGAGGCTGTTGCCACACCCTGGGTGGGAGATGACGGTGGCTTGGGCATAGGGAGGTGGTGGAGGCATCGGGACGCTGAGGGTGGCCGGAGCCCCGGGGGATGCGGCCACCACTGGCAGCAGTGGGGGACACACACAGGTCACTGCCCAGCTGGCCATAACAGCCAGGTTTGGGCCAGGTGGAAGCCGGAGTCAGGAACTCCTTCAGGGTCTCCCAGGTGCGTGGTAGTAAGCCAGGTCCTCGGGCCATCTGCTGCTGCCCTTTCCCAGGTAGACGCATTAGTAGGGAACTGGAGAGGAAACAGTGCACCTGGGACTGGAAGCCACACGCTGGGGGGGAGGGGGGGTTAACCACTGCGCCTCAACGCTGCCCCCTAGGGGAGCAGTTCCCGAAGGATCCGGACCTCTGCGCAGGCTGTTTGCCCCTGGGAGTTCCGGGCAGGGATCTGGGATGCCCTCGGTCTCTGCTTGGGTCCCCTGCAGGCCGGTGGAGGCAAAGACAGACAGGGGTCAAGGTGTCCAGGGAAAGAGGGCCAGAGTGGGAGGCGCGGCAGGACGGCAGGCAGCAGGGAGCCCGGTGCTCCCCGAGGAAGGCGGTGAGGACGAGGAGGGGCCTGTGGATGTATCGGCACGGAGGTGGTGTGGTAAGGATGGAGAGGCCAGTGCCCTGTGCCAGCGTTAGGATCCAGATGGGGCAGGCGTTACCCCCCAGGGGCTAAGGTGCCCCTGGGGACCTCTGCGCCCCATATCCGGCCTCTGCTTCCAGTTCCCACGTCCTGCTAAAGCACACCCTGGGAGGCAGCGGGTGATGGCGTCAGGGACTTGGGTGCCACCCACCCCAGGAGGTGGGGGGACGCGGATCGGGTTCTGGCTCCTGGCTTCAGCGCTGGCCCAGCCCTGGCTGTTGCTGATGTCTCTCTCTGTCTCCTTTGAAATAAAAATAAAGAACATTTAAAAAGAAAAGGAACGGAGCCAGGCAGAGATGTCCAGGCAGGGCAGGGCGGGGGGTGGAGGAGGAGTTGGGGGAGCGGCTGCGAGCGGGTTGGGGCGTTCTTAGGGCGATGAGACCCTCCTGGAGGCAGCGCGAGCCGGCTGCCACTCAGCCTTGGGAATGCACTCGGGGCCCCCGTGAGAGCAGTGACGGCGCCCGGGCGACAGGGGGCGGCCCCGCTCCTCCCAAGCCCTCAGCTGTGCAGGGAGGACAGGCCGGGGGCCCAGAGCCACGCGCCCAGGTTCCAGCCCTTGCTTGCTCTTGTCCAGAGCCCGCCCTCGTTCATGGCGCTCGGGGCTCTGCACCCAGCAAACGCACACGCACACGCACGCAGCCGGCCGGCCCGCAGCTGCGGCCCCCTCTGGCTTCTCTCTCCCGCAGCACCAAGCGGTCTCTGCGCTTTGAGTAGCAGGATGCAGGGGCTCAACCTCAGCCGGCAAACTGACCAGCAGAGCTCAGCTTGGTCAGGTACCCCTCCCCCGCCCCGAGACCCTG